GGTTGTAAAAGCCGCTAAGTATAAGTGTACTTATGCATTAAAAAATGTATTTATTTCGTAAGTATATTCCACTAATTATATCTGCGATTTAATCGGAATGTGTTCTGTGCCAATCGTCTACATTCCTTGTGCATATCCCTTCATCAACTTCCTGATCAAAATATGCCACACCGAAGTCTGCTTTTCAAATTCATCCATCTATGGGGAGGTTAGTGAAATGAGAAACAGGCACTTGTCAAGAAATTCATATTTTTCTCCCTCTGAAACGGTCTCGGATTCACCAAATCGAAGTCAACTTAAGGGAGATCGTTTGTCAACCCTTTCGATTTTTATAGCGTCTAGTAGATTTATTGCTTTGCAAGAATGGTACTAATTTCTAGTGAGTAACTCCGGACACGTTCTCATTCATTTCTGTAGCACAATTTCCAATCCACGATGGCTTTCTTACGCATTCCTGACTGGACTACGTTCTTAGTTGACATGTTTGCACTGTAAGGTCCATGAAAATGTAGTTTTTCATCTCTATTTCTCAGTCTTTTTTGCAGTACATGTACAAGCGACTTTCACATCTTATATCAGTTAGTCATCTTTCACACGATGACACAAGTAGTATACATTTCCTCAGTCAACGTTTGTGCGAGACCAGGAATTAGGGTTTTAGAACGCGACCACCTCAATTAACTGTTTTCTTCCAGTGTGCTAGTGCATGCTCCTTTATTCTTCATCCTTCTAAGCGTAAGATCCTATGAATACCCACTCAGACATCAAAAACTAAAGTGCGTGTAAGACATCCTTTTGCGTGCAATAAACGTCTGCATATACCTAAGATTACCTAAGTAATGAAAATTTGCCTTATTCTTCAGTGCAGTAGCAGATTTTCGGAAAAAGGAACATTTATTCATTTTCTTATGAAAGTATTTACAAACTTGTCGTACACAAATGTTACACTTTATTTCGTTAACTTATCTTCAGATACATTCCATCAAATTTCTCATGCTCAGTAGTTTGCTTTCAATAAGTTTTCCAAGGCTCTAAAAGATACTTGAGTTATCTTGAAACTAACTTCTTATGGTTAACTCAGCATGCAGTTGCTGAGTGCCAACGTTATTGCATATGTTCATCGATCAAAGGTTTGGGGTGAAATTATCACTAAAAATATTTAATGCGCAGTTTCATATCTATCCGAACACATAATTTAACTCCTATTGAACACACGATTTGTAACTGTTTTCCCGTATGTGTCGAGTTCCCTCCGAACCTTGTATTCGTCATAGGATCGGATAGAAAAATCTTTTGTGTCATGTGCAGAAGTCACATTGTTCTCTCTCAGGTGTTATTAGTGTAAATATTTTGTCTCAACTACGAAGTCTGCGAAACTCATGTTAAACCTGTTCATAATACCCAGTTTCTGATTATCATCTTCGGATTGGGAAAATTGTGTGAACTTCAGATTGAATGTAGGTTCCATTAGCAGGACTCAATACATAAAGTGCCATAGCTGAGCTTTATCACCATCAATGAGACTTATCTTCTATTTAACGGGAACAGCAGCAGCAGATATTTTCTTCCGACACCAGTGCATGGCACTGGCTCAAATGAGAACTCTATATAAAAAAACTACACAGTTACTTGATTTTGAGTGGTGCCTAACAAACAGACGAATTCAGTGTAGAAGACAAGTGCATCGGTTCAAGTTGCCATACTTCACAGCAGCATAAAAAGAACAAGGAAATCGAAAAGGTGTATGGGAGGAGAAACAATTTGAAGACAAAGGTTGGTGAAAGTGGTAAAGCTTTGGAAAATGTCAAAGAGTGAATACATCTCCACCATCGTGGTTGACACTTAGTCATGTCACCAGGAATCCTCAACCACTGATTCCTATCGTTTCGGGGACCCCATCCTAACCAGGTAGTTCACACCTCTCAATATGGCTCAGACCAAGAGTAAGAGACTTAATCGACTGGTGCTGCGTCTTGGTATGGCCATCCTGAGCCTTATTCCAACTAAATCCAATCTCTCTTAGTATTGCACATCGAGGTAGGCGTAGGTAGCAATAAGTCGTTAGTTCTTTAATAAACTTCTTTCTTATCTGAGAGTTTCCTGAGACATCTACTATTATTTTCGTTTGTTTGTTCTTCCTCTAGTTGACTTCTGCCTTAAAGTACTGATATGAATTGTAAAATCGTGATTGTTTTTGTCTGTCTAATATCTGCTACCAATCACACACAGACCTTTGATCAAGGCGTTCATAAGATCCTGTATTTTACCAGCCTTTTCACCTGGCAGGACAATGTCGTTTGTATACTACAATTGGGAATACGTAGTTAGCATAATATAGTCGCCTGGCATTCGCTCCATAGTTAATCACTTTCACAAGTGATCACCATACTAATACACCTGTCACTTGCAGCTGTAGCCAGCTGATCTAGGCAGGACTTCCTACCAGTGAATCACAAGTTCAAACCCCGCCGTATCTACTTTGTTGTGGGTATCCAGATAGTAACATTAGAACACAATGTAAGGCTCATTATCGACTGCACTAACATGCATGTCACTGCTAGACGCAATTCCTTACCAATGCAAAATTAAGACAACAAAGACATAAAGGAAGCCAAGTGTATGAAGAAAGCAATTTTTCAAAACTCGTAAAAAATCCAAATAATAGAAACAGTTAGTTGAATCTCTGTTTCAGTTTCAAGGTCTTTGTAATGTATTGAGGACTAATGCAATACATATGAAGGGGGTAACTAATTCGCTGATATTCTGTTTTCGTTTCAATTTGTAGGGGTGTTGGCTGTGTTACTGTTGCGTAACGCTTAACCAAACCTACTTAACTCAATGTGCTCCAGTACCTGCTTAATCAATACCTTACCTAACGTGTAAGTACTGATAACGAAACACAAACCAAAAGGACTGGTACTCAGGAATATATTCAAAGGAGCAACATATTTAATTAGAATAAATGTGGTAGTTATTATTAGGAGTAAAGTTTATCCAACGTATCTGACCAGTGTGGCTGAACTAGAGACTGAGGATGGGCATGTTAACCAGCACTAAGGGCGCGCAAAATTGTCAATGCATGCTCGTTAAAACAAAACTTAAAACACCCTAAGCATCCGGAGGCCAGCTAGAAGCTTATTTAGTTAATTCAATTTAATCTACTTATTTTAGCCCTAGTTGCATTTTGGTGCCAGGAAGGTGCACTACAAATTAAAGAAGCTATAAGTGTAAAGTTAGAAACTCTACGTTACGAGATTTTGTGCCGAAATTGCGTCAATAGTATGGTCAATCATGTGATTACTTGACATGTGATCTTTTCACCTTTGAGCAGGCCGACAAGGCATTTTTCTATCGTAGGAAACCATTACCGGGTTTGAGTTCTATAGGCAAGATGTTACATGGCATATGAATTAAAATACTAGTAGGCCCTAGAAATATATCAGCGACTGAGGGACTGTTAGTCAGTGCATCATTTTGTCCTAGATGTTTTACAGATGATATGAGGTTTTCCGAGATTGGTCTCCAACAGTGCCTCGACTAACAATAGAGAGTGTAGCGGTTGAGTGTGTCGCCCATTTCACTTACCTGAAAAGCAGGATCAGCCCTAATGGCTCAGTGGCCGATGAGATCTCTGCACCAATATAAAAGGCTCGACTGGCTTTTGCCAACTTACGCCACCTGTGGTGCTGCTGTGATATCCGATTGTCTATTAAGGGTTGCGTGTAATGCACAGCAGCCCGCTCTGTTCTACTGCATGGCTGTGAAACATCGCCATTGGAGGTGGAAGACATGAGAAGGCTGGCTTCAGGTGTTTGACCACCGTTGCCTTCGTAGTATAGGCCGTATTCCGTGGTGTCACCACGTGAGTAATGCAGAAGTCAGGTGTAGAGTTTTAGGGAGAAGAGGTAAATCAGTTGGCACGGTTGTGAACCTTCATCGACTGAGACGGCTGACTGGGACATGTGTTACGTATGCTTAGCCACCGTCTGCCTCATCACACAATGTTGGCCGAAGTAGGTTCAGTCTGGAAAAAGGCTCAAGGCGGCCAAAATAAAACATGCATCAATGTATGAAGTCTTTGACTGTTGGTTTGAGCCGTGTGAGGCGATGCAGACTAGGTGGTTGGGGTTCGCGGGACAAGAGGGACCAGTGGTTGGAGACTAGGTGATATGGCATGGAACCGATGTCAATGGTGAAGATGTATACACATATTATCCTCATCCTAACGCTATACCGAATCTCACCATTTTCTCATTTTTCCTTCCTCTCTCCCTCTTTGAGTACTTTATATTTCTTCTGACTGAATTTTCTTATTCTTACCTTGCACTTCACTACCTTTTTACTTGATGTACTGATATGAGCTGTGGCAACTCGGACCGTTACACAGTAATGCCTACCTGGTCCTATGTTGATGATGATCAACACTGGTCTTCTGATGTTGGAGGATTACTGCTAGGGTGAGCGCAAGTACGTGCTTACAACAGCTGTCCCCAGAACTAACCGCCTCTTACTTCGAAAAGGATATCAGTGTAAGTAAAACTAATGAATACTTTCCTTCACTCACCTTTTAGAGGCATTCAGTCTTCTAACTTACTATGGCTTATGTGACTGACTCAACTGTCACTTTGTTTTACCACAATAACAGTAAATATTAGCTATTCATATATTGCAGGTCTTACGTATGCCACTATTTGGACAAAAATTATCAACAGGTTGTTTGCTATTGTAGATCTATGAAAATTCCTTACGATCAAAGAGCACCTTATTTCACAAAAGACAAAAGATAGATTTCTACAGGGTTTAGTGTTATGGTCTTTTCTTTAGTGTACACATTCACCTATGCAAGAATCTTTTATACATATATCATTAGGTGAGGTCAGGAGTTGTAGTGTTTCGCTTTATATAGTGGCGACAGTAAACCGGATGAGATAGTTTGTACATATTATCTAATGAACATAAATATATTGTTTTTGTTCAGATTGTTTTGTCATATATTTCAGGTTTCCAGTTTCAAAATACGTATTCGACAAATATTGACGCGACCCTTGCCTTCGTAAATATTCTTCAAAATGCCAAAGCAGATTGTCTTTCTGCATCCAGATCTTGGTATAGGTGGTGCTGAACGACTTATAGTAGATTCTGCAGTCGCTCTAGAGTCATGTGGCTATGACGTCAGTATTATTACAAACCATCATGATCATAACCATTGTTTCGAAGAAACACTACAATCGAATTTGAAAGTAACAGTTGTAGCTGATTGGTTTCCGCGGTCCATATTCGGTTATATGACAGCATTATGTGCCTATATTCGCCTTATACTTGCTACCATGTACTTGATCTTGTTTTATGAAACGAAAGCAGATTTAACCTTTGTTGATCAAATATCAGCACCTATCATCCTGCTACGAGCTTTTGGGTACAATGTAAGTTTATAATTATTATTAACTATTTAAAGACAATATTCTATTGTCATTTTCCAGACTTGCTTTTGACAAGAAAGGATTCACTTCTAAAGAAACTTTACAGAATGCCCATTGATTATATTGAACAAGCATCAACTGGAATGGCCGATATAGTTCTTGTTAACAGCAAGTTTACATGTTAGTCAACTGCTAATAACTATCGATTGTGTCGCCATATATTCTTGATGATTTAATCTCGTCATATATATTGCAACGTGAAGTTATGAACAGTTACCTTACCATATACATGAGTGGAAATGTCTCTAGTCATTATTACCATTTCTGCTCGGGCCTTCCAGAAAATCATGTTTGAGTTTGTCATTTCTTCCTTTAGCCCTCATAGGTGTGAAGTTTTCGTATTGACTTAAAATACCCAGATCTGTTGGGCGATGCTGGTAAAATAAGGATTGGTCATAAAACCTCAGATCAGAAACAGATAACTTCAGTATGTGTTCACGCTATTTAAATACAAAGATTACTTCGGAACTGGTTGGTGGCTATGCTTATTTTAACCTTAAGAGATGAAGTAACCGGGTATGTTGCTAGTCTCATTTACTAGAGAAGAGTCATCGCCTTTAGAGCGCTGACGACATAAAAATTTGTGGGATGGATACACTAAGTACATTTGGTTTTTGTTAGTTTATGCCATTTATCGCGGTCGGAAAATAACCAGGAACTGTGCAAAACGCTGGACTCTTGATAGGCATTCAAATACCTTTACAGTGTTTCTCTGTGGCCACCATGTAAAGATATCTTGGTTCTAACATGATCAACTATCGAGACCTGCCTCAGGGTATTGTGCATGACTCCGACATCCCAGATAGTATAAGATTTATTCAAATTAGTAATCCCTGGTCGTCACTTCCAATGGGTTCTGGAGACAGTCAGTCAGGTTCTGCTGTCTTCTCTGGAAAGATCTGTCACAACCTCTCAACTGGAATAGGAGTTTGAAAACTAGTGGTGGCGTTTCGCTCAGGCGGCAGCTTGATAGGGTACAAATAAGGAAAAAATAATATTCAATTTAACCGTTCTCCAGTGTTCTGCACATCGTTACAGTCTCCTACTATGAAAATGAATCATTGACCAGCCTTTTATCAACAATCTTTATGACACCCCCATCAGTTTTCATACCAATCTTACCTTGAGCAGATATTGCTCTATATAGATAGATTCAAACAGTCAAGGTTTCATAATTCATATCGATGTGTCAACGCGGAAGTAAGTGCGAGAAAAGATAAACAAAGATTATCGTAGTAGTATTAAGAAGCTCTCAGGTAACAGAAAAACGGTAATAAAAGAAATGGAGATTTGTAACAAAAAGACTTCTATGATTTAGGCAACCATTAGTCTTGGATCTGCCTGTGATGTATCCCCCAAATTCTTGGACTATCGACTTTAATAACCTGTTGATAGACAGACTAAACCAACGTAGAAGGAAGCACACAAGTGCATCGGTTCAAGTTGCCATACTTCACAGCAGCATAAAAAGAACAAGGAAATCGAAAAGGTGTATGGGAGGAGAAACAATTTGAAGACAAAGGTTGGTGAAAGTGGTAAAGCTTTGGAAAATGTCAAAGAGTGAATACATCTCCACCATCGTGGTTGACACTTAGTCATGTCACCAGGAATCCTCAACCACTGATTCCTATCGTTTCGGGGACCCCATCCTAACCAGGTAGTTCACACCTCTCAATATGGCTCAGACCAAGAGTAAGAGACTTAATCGACTGGTGCTGCGTCTTGGTATGGCCATCCTGAGCCTTATTCCAACTAAATCCAATCTCTCTTAGTATTGCACATCGAGGTAGGCGTAGGTAGCAATAAGTCGTTAGTTCTTTAATAAACTTCTTTCTTATCTGAGAGTTTCCTGAGACATCTACTATTATTTTCGTTTGTTTGTTCTTCCTCTAGTTGACTTCTGCCTTAAAGTACTGATATGAATTGTAAAATCGTGATTGCTTTTGTTTGTCTAATATTTCCTGGCATTGGATCTTCCTACTAACGAAAGCTGGAAACTGGTCAGTTTGTGATATGGTTAATTACAATGAGAATAATTGTACTGATTTACTATCTCACTGTATTATTGTGGTTATTTCTTGCCTAAGCGATGTGCAGAAGGGAAGAATTCGTGGCTTCGTATTCATAGTGTGATATATCTGATCGTCAATATTTGATATAAAGTCATAATTCTATACCTATGATAACTCAGTTATCTAAAAGCAGTTCATTTTATGTTAAACAACTTAAGGCAGGCAGCCAAAACGTTATTTATGCTGGTTAGTACTCATCAGCGAAGCATATCTGCAGCCTTCAAGGAACTTATGTCGACTCAAAGGTTTAAACTGACGCCAGTGAGAGACATTACCGTCGAGCTATTCGAGCTGCGATTGACTTTTTGTAAAACTTGGTTAAAAGCTTTGATGGGTTTCCAGAACGTAACCGATATCATGTAACTAAACGATTTTTATCAACATAAATACCAGTGAGATTACCATGGCATGAAACTCCATATTCTGTTAGTTACTAAGTATAATTTAAGGTGTCCTCGCTTCTAGTAACTAATGAATTTCATTTCAAATATACTGAATGCTTCCACCTGATTATTTGATCATATTGAACGAGAAAGTGTATGCTATTTAGGTCGCACTACTTTATCTCCAGAAACAATCTTTTTTATTGCAAAGAAACAAACCTTTTCCTTCTTCAAACTAACATCTGCTGTCTAGCTAATGTTTTCAGAGAAACGTTCACCTCACTTGACCGAGTACAACTGCGCATTTTGTACCCTATTGCAAATTCCAAAAGTTTATGTCTACCTATAACAGGACAATCTCAGGATAGTTCATCGTTCAGATATGAATGTCGGGGACATCTACCACCAGGAGTTATACCTCAAAAAGCCAAAACCGTATTCCTGTCCATTAACAGATATGAACGAAAGAAAAATCTTTCATTAGCTTTGTATAGTCTTGGTAAGTTGTTTTTGAGTTTAAATAGAATATTGTTCTTTATCTATAGGCGTTAAGAATGGTTTTCATCCTAAATAAAACAAAGACAAAAAACTTATTCTGACTATATACTCCAATATCACCATAGTAGTAGTGTTGATGATAGGTTAGTCCTATCTCAAGATAATAAAAGGTATTTATGGCGGTAATAACTGATAGAGGAAATGAAGGTACAAAAGTACAAATCAATTAACTGATACAGTGTAATGCAACTGAATGATACATACTTCTTCTGATACGGAATTGTTAAGTATTTGCACTCGAGTTGACTGTTTCGCTAACGCAAACGCATTGATGATCACTAAGCGAGATGTGTTACCGTATCTCATCACTTTATCAAGTAATACTTTTGCTTTTTACAGTGGGGATAGAAAACTAAAAATGATAACATGCATGAGTATTATTTGACCAATAATGTACAGTAAATCGGAAGTAAAACCGGAGCTGTCTTACCGACTAATAATTTTTTTCAAGTTGGTATTCATCGTAGACTGACATCAGTTGGAGGAACAATGGAAACCTGGGAACACTGGACAGTTGTTTCGTCCTAGTATGGGACTCCTCAGCAGCACGCACCCACGACCTCGGAAGCGATCGAACCTGCGACCTTCAGGTTCCGTGACCAACATGTTACAATTGAGCCACTAGGTCAGAATCCAATGGTTCATATTTCCAATTTCTGTCAGTTCACGACATAGCGTGACCACCACTCATTGTCATCATTGAGTATTTGTCCTCACGCCCAATGAATGTAAGGCTAATCTTCTGACTGGAGCTGTGCCTCAGTGGTTTAAGGAGATGACTATCATCCATTGGGTCACGGGTTCGAAAATCACTCCACCTACTGAGGTATAGGCAATCAGGTGGTATCACTAACCCTCACACTCAAGATGTAGCTCATCGCCTATTGCATGAACATGCACAAGGTGGCTAAGTGCTTTTCGTTCGTTCGTTTGGTTTTCTAACTACCATAACAATAGCTATGCTCAAATCGAAAAAATGAAACCTAGGAAGATTGCTATCTAAGGGTAACTAGTCACAGAAGTTTATAAAAGGCATGAAGAACTCTATAGAATGGTCAGAATACCAGTTTTGTTGGACAACGAAAGAGGTTTACCTTTAGTATATTATGCAACATTGATGACTAAGTTATAAAAATACGTTGTGCTAGTTCTTTTTTCTCTGGACACGAATAATTCAATAGCTTTAGTTGCATGTATTAAACACAATTTACAATTCTAAGTCGTAAGACAAAATGGTTAGAATTTATAATGAAACCTTACACTAATATTCAAATTAGTTTGATTTCGTATCAAAAAAGTATACAAGTTTGGAAATCCACATCTCTTTATCTGTTTTCTATACGCCGCCACCACTTCGTGGAATCTAGTCTCAAGAATCGACCATCATTTTCAGTTGAGTATCTACATCAGTCTTACTTGTAATCGTAAACTTTTCAAGCAACATCGTATTATAGTTATCACAACTGTTTTTTTCATTTTTGTTAAGTTACTTATAGTTTTAAAATAATCCTTAACTAATATCACAATTAGACTGATGTCACAAATTTTTGTTGTAAGATCTGTGTGCTATCACAGGTGTGTAATCATCTATCATCGAAACTCTGTACATTCAGTTACTCTTCCTCTTTCCTTTCATTCCATTTATTTGAATAGCTGTCTCATTGTTTCTTGTCATTTCCCCTTCTGTAATGTTACTTAGTTTAATGAGCGAGACAGCTTCACGTTTTGCATGTTTCTACGTTGATATATCTGTATATTGGTGTAAAACAATCAGTTTGTGGTTAGTAACAGATAATTGATATCCGTTGCACAGGTGGTGACCCTCGTGCCTCAGTGGAAACGTTTTGGCGTTTGAAGCGCTGAATAGTGGGGCTCTAGTCTCAGTGGGAACAACAACTTATTGGGGTGCAGGTGCATCCGGCTGATGTGTCCTGAATAGGACGAAACCCACGTCCTGGATCCCACTACTAGCCACCAAACAGACTACACTATTTTGGTCACTTTATTAGTGGAGCTGTATTTTATTGGCTTGATTTATTGCCTACTGCATGAAATTGTATGTGATTACTGAGTTGCATTTCATTTTCAATTTTTTCTCTAGAATATTTGATCACACGCTGGAACCAACTTATCGATCCATCAGTAGAGACCAATCCCGAAAATATTCATTTGATCATAGCCGGAGGTTATGATCAACGTGTTAGTGAAAATGTAGAATATTATACAGAACTAGTGGACTTATCGCAAACATTAAAAGTATGTGCATATGTTTAAAACATTCATCTTTTCATTTTATCCCATAATAACTCTAAATATTTGAAACAATTGTTAATATATTTGTCTCTTGGGTTCCCAGTGGAACATAGAAACTCAGTAAGTCTTCTCCATCCCACTCTGTTCTCTGCAGTCTTCAAAACCTGGCTCCACGACTGCCCACAAACTTTCATTTCCTACTCACATGATCTCCTCCATGTCACGCTCACCTCGGGCGACCAAATCGTCGTTTTCCATGCGGGTCCCACTCGACGGCCTGGTCTGGCACGTGATGTTCCCTGGCGGCCTCCTCTGTGTATGCCCAATCCAATCTGTCTCCACTTTCTTCTGCATATTTGTTGAGCGATGTGTTCTTGGTTGGTTCGTTGCCAACCAGCCAAAGTTCCTTGTTGCTTATTCTTATTATTCTGGTCATCTGATCTTCAGTATCGAGTGAGGGTAGGTGGCAGCTGTTGACGAGTGCCTGTAGTTTGTTGGAGATGCTTTTCATAACTCGCCAAGTCTCTGAACCATCACATAAAAGCATTGACTTGATTGAGTTAGTGTTGAAAATCCGGATGTTGTTCACGCTTTATGCTGAATGCAGTAGATCTCCATACTGATTTCAGATTAATGAAAGCCTGTGTTGCTTTTCCGATCCTGGCTTTGACGTCCTTGTCTGTGCCACATCCATCTGTAGTTGAAATGAAGCTGCCCTGCGTAAGTAGGTGAAAGAGACTACTTCCTTGAGGTTTCTCCTGTTGATGGTGATTGGTGCTTGTTGTTATTGTTGGTTGGGTATCTTCATCACCTCTGTCTTTACTACATCCACTTGAAGTCCCGTTTTCGCTGCCCTGCCTCTTCTGTTAACTTGTTGGTTTTTGCCTGTAGATCTTCGAGTTTGTGCCACAAGACATTAGACATAAATCATTATTGTTGGCGAAATCCAAATATTCTTCTAGGGTGTTTTCATCAGTCCAGCCAGCGTATACCCATCTTCTCTCTCCTCATAGTTGTCTGTTTCATGATCCAGTCCAGTTGACCACAATCAGGAAGATGGTCGGTGATGGTAGACGGCAGCCTTGTCTTCACTTCAAAGGCGTCACTGAGCTTTCCATTGTGAATCACTTGGCATGTAGCCTCCTCATATAGCATAGCATATAGCTGTTGAATGAGGTTGATAAAGGTTTGTGGCGATAAAAGCGTAGTGTTGAAGCGGCAGCTGCCAAATTACTTCTCGGTCGACGCTGTCGAAGGCCTTCCCAAAATCCCTTGTTTGGAAGTTTGACAGATACCTTGCCTTCGTTCCTTGCAAACCTTCTCCTGTGGTGGTGTAAGTATGTCGGTTGTTGTCTCTGCGTTTGTTTTCAGTCGTTTCAGAAGAATTCTATCTGGTCCTGCTGCTTTACCGGATTTCAGCAGCTTTATGGCGTTCAGTACTTCGGCTTTTGTCGGGGCGCCTGTGTTCACTGGCAGTTTCGTAGCTGCTGGCGGTATTTCTGGACGAGTAGCAGGTGGTGGTGGTCCACTCAATAGTTTTTTGAAGTGGTCAGCCCAACGTTTCCTTTGTTTCTCCACTTTGGTAACTAGGTTTCCTTCACCATCTTTCATTGGTTTCATCTGCTTTGATCTCTTCCATCCCAGATAGTAACCTGGTTATTCGATATGTTATCAGGTCTCTCCTACCAGCAGCCCTCAGCTTGTTCTGCTTCACTTGCCAGTGTGTCGTAGAAGTGTCTTTTGTCTTTCCATACACTCTCCTTCACTTCTTTGTCCAGTGTAGTATTTTATAGGTTGCAATCACTTCCTCTTTCGTTGTTCATCCATGCACTGCACTGCACTAGTTTATTTTCTGCTTCACCGTCTTCCTCTCCTCTATCAGCTTCCATGTATCCGTGAAGATCCATTCCTTATCTTGTTTCTCCTTCCTTCCTAATAGAGTTATGTAGGTTTTTTCTGACATCTCTTTGAAAGAGTTCAAGTGTTCTTCCACCCAGGTTTTCTCAGGGATGTTGTTTAGTGTCTCTCATTTTTCCCTGATGGCTGACTGACGTGATGTCCTTTGTAGTTTCGTCCCTTAGTTTTTGTTCTGGGTCTGGAACTTGAACTGTGGTCTATCACTAACTTCTTAGAATTGAAGTCTTTCAATATGATTTATAAGGCAGGTCCATTGTACTAGATAGTGAGTGATCTGAAACTACATCTGCTCCCCTTCTTGATCTTGTGTCCTTCAGATTGAGATGAAGTTGACGTGATTTTTAGTGTGGTGGAATCAAATCTATGTCGCTTTGTGAATATCTTTGTGTTTGTACACACTGCCTCCAATCACTAAATCATTAAATGCACAGAAGTCTGTAAACAGTTCTCCATTCTCGTTCGTTTCACTGAGTGCTTCTCGACACATGATGAGTTCTCTTCCGGTGTTACCTACTCCCAGTTTCGCATTCATGTCACCCCACCAATTAGAATTTTGATATCACCAACTGAAGTGGAGTCTTATCCAGTACTGATTGCAGTTGTCTGTAGAATTCCTCCTTTTTCTCTTCATCTGCATTATTTGTAGGTGCACAGTGTAGCATTGTATGATTGTGACCTTCCTTCCTTCCTTTTGGGTTGAATCTTGCTGTCATGGTCCAACAAGAGGAGATTGGTTCCCACTGCATGAGAGTGAGAGCCTTCGATGTTGTTTGGGACATCATGATAGTCACTCCGATACTCACTGTGCTCGTGGTTGTCGTCTGGGTGACAATATCAGATTAGATTATTGACTCTCCAGTTGACAGTTTGGACAGTCCACTTCCATTCCATCTGCTTTCGCAAATTCCTAGCACTGCAATGCGATACCTTCTCATCTCTTTTGCAATCTGGGCTAGGTTCGACCATAGTGCGGACATTTCATGTCCCTATGTTTACTTTCGCTTTCATCGAGGGAGAGGACATATCGGCCAATTGGCTTCCCCAAGGCTTTCACCAACCGGCGTCTTTTCGTCGCTCCTATTCCAGAGAGGAATAATTTCGTTTCATTTTTTATATTTTGTTTTTGCTTTGAAGTTTCTTTAGCGATTGGATTAGTTTTCCGGGGTAGGGTTGCTGGCCCTATGCCCAACCTTCCGTCTTTATTGGGCTTAGGACCGGCTAGTAACTAGCTAACCAGGCGAGGTTATTTGAAACAATTAGTCCGTATGAGTTTGGTTAGTATGAGTAAAACTGAAAAATTCGACACATCTGTTCCATGCGTTTCCAACAATCGTTTTTCATGCTCATTCGCCAAAATGTTTTATTTCAAAAGCGGAAAATAGAAACAGGTTAAATCAAACAGTCATAATAATAGAGAAAGAATGTAGGAATAAAAGAGTGGTAGTAAACGGAATATATCTTTTGTATCATTGAGAACAATGCTGAAGTCAGGAGAAGAGTGCTAGGCAAGATAAACAAGTCGATTAATGAGGTTGTGAACTTTCATCGGCTGGGGTGGCTTGAACATGCATTGCGCATGCTGAGTCACCTCCTATCTTGACGGGCCATGCTAAGAGAAGCTGGACTAGGTTGAAAGAGAGTTAAGGGTGACCAAACCAAGACGTGATACCATTCGATGAAGTCCATGATTGTTGGTCTGTGCCTTCATGTACAGCTCATTGCATGTACACGTAAAACTACACTACACGACATTTGTATTTCTTCTTATCACAAATACTATTCCTATAAATAAGTTTAGATCTACCAAAGTTAATGCTGAATTAAAACAGTTGCTTTTCAACACCCACTTAGCTGAACTGAAAGTTGCACTAGCTGGTCATAGCGATGGGGATAAGAACATCCGAAGTTCGTAGTTATTAAGAGTTTCTCAGCAACTAAAAGAAGTTACTGCAATAGCGTCGATTTGATTTCACGTGACATATGTGGAATAACTGTGAAGGTGCAAAAAAAAATTAGGACGTGACTTTTTCACATGTAACGAAATGCACTGTTGTTAAGTACCAAGTTCCCTTTTGCACAATATTACTGTTGACCTACGAAAACGGTATTTTTATAGAGTCGCATGATGTAGAGTTGTTATGAAAAGAATAGAATCAAGGTATATGCAATTCATAGAAAACGTCTTGTGTATCACCTGATTGAAAATGTAGTTCAATTTTAAAAGTAACGTCTCATTTCCAAAAGATGTACATTTCGGCAATTAAGTAACCACAAAATCTTCCATAATGTGAGAACCTTCTAAATCTAATTTAATTTGCAGATCAGCAATCATGTTACTTTTATGCGTTCCTGTTCATCAGAAATCAAACCTCTGTTAATAGCAGCCAGTGATGCAGTAATTTATACACCAGACAAAGAACATTTTGGAATCGTTCCTATTGAAGCAATGTTGTTGTCTCGCGCAGTCATTGCGCTGGACTCTGGCGGTCCCAGAGAAACAATTGTACATAACTGTACTGGCTTTCTGTGCAAAGTAGATCCAATAACTCAGCTACCGGAAATTATAGCTAAGTACTTTTCCAAGTATGTTTCATAATACCCTTATTGTTTGTTTAACAGTAACTTTCATTGCTTTCATGCAAGTTACACTTCTTTTATTTCATGTGACGTAAGACAGAAATGTGATCTCAACTAGTAGACCTGTCACTTTTTCTGTACCAGTGGTCTATCATACTAATCATAGACGGTTTAAATATTTAGATACACCTCTATTCCACCGATTTTTTGTTTACAAAAGCTCGCATACAGGTTAAGTGGACTATTTACCTACAAAGGCTTATGACACTACAATTTCAAAATCAACTCAAAGGTGTAGATGGTTTGCAGTGAAATCCCTAAGCATGACTACATTGGAGTCAGTTAGTTAGTTAGTCAATGACAAGAGAGGAGACGTGGCTCAATGGTTTAGGGAGATGACTATCAACCAGTTACGGGTTCGAACCCCGCTCCATGTGCCGAAGTTTGTACATCTGGATAGTATCACTGGCTGTCACACAATATGTGTGGCTCATTGCCTAGTGCACGGATGTGCACAAGATGGCTGCGCGCTTTCCGTCCCGTTACTATATAACAATCTGAGTTGTCACACCTCATGGCAGCACATCAAGATGAAAGGTAACAAGAATAAAGTCAGGGAAATGTAAATAGTTTAGTCGGAAGTTGTGGAGCAGATGAAAAGAGAGTGGAAGAAGTAACTATGTGTGATATGATGGTTACAATAAGATGTGGATGCATCAGCGCGACTGCAATCGATTTTCGGTCAGATAACCTACCGTTTCAAACCATTAACTTCGGTGCTCATGCGAATCCCAACCAGTCAGTGAAATGCCGACCCGCACCCAATAGTCAAGCGATTTCAAATCACTTTATTGAAGAAAACAGACAGGATGTTTAAATTTTCTGCACCTAGTGACAATCTGGTGAAACATCCCATAAACCTCTGTAGTACTGGGATACCTTAAATATCCAAATCGTTGTTACTCAGTTCATTTACAGAGGATTTCAAAACATAAAGTCCCAGAAGCTTTCTGACGATGCAATAACTTTTTTGAGGCTGATGTTATCCATACTTAGGATATGTGTGCAAGAAAACCAAGTGAATAGCTGCTGTTTTGTGGTGTTGTTAAACACAGAACAAATACTATCGTATGTTGAAGTTGATTCAGGTAGTGAATATGAGGAACCATTTCCGCATCACACTAAGTTGACTGAGTGGGTCAGAGTTTTGGATAACGAGATTACAGTATTCACTAATATAACGCAGGCTATGTGAATTCTGCACAAAATTCTTTTTCAAGTTCTGAAGACACAACATACTCAGACCTATATATTATCACTATTAGAATACCGCACCTACCTATTAAGGTTTAGGTAGCCAGGTAGTCCTCACACAATAGGTGTGGCTCATTGCCTACCGCACGAATGTGCACAAGTTTGTGGAGTGGATTTCGATTCAATATTCTATTAGAAATGTCAGTGCGCATTGATGATACATATGGTAGTAGTGGTAGTTATCCATATACTGACCTTCGTAGGAATGTTCAAGTTCTAAAAGCGGATGTGATTTATTGATCCTTTGTAGAAAAAAATATTTTGATATTGTCACAGATAAATATCAGGTTTCAGCTGCTTATGACAAGCAGTTACTTTTAAAGTTATTACATTCAACAAAAGAGCTTTAAATTATGATGTATTTCTTACATTGGTAGTAAAGGCTTCGCAGCTAAATTCTTTAGTACAGTAAATGATATAAAGTTTTCGGAATAACACTACAAATTTTGCATTGTTTCTTTGAATTACTTCTCGATGAGCTACTAAAGCATGTTGTGTGGCGATCAGGTTTTGAAATCGGTAGGGTAACTGTAGATAGGCTATCAAAAGAAATTTGGAATTATTTTCTTGCCCTCATTGTAGTCAATCTTACGTGTACTGAAAAGGTTGTTACAGCATTTAACACTTTTTAGGTCGCTTTTTTAAATTTCCTCAATCTCAAGTAAATCACTCCGATTTCAGGTTTATCAATGATCCGGAACTTGCAGATCGTATGGGCAAGGCAGGATGTAACCGAGTTGCTGAGAAGTTCTCACCTATCACCTTCAAAAAGGAATTACAAACCATCGTATCTGATTTAATGAATAGACAACACTAATCGTAACTATTTTTTACCATCACAAAACCTTTATTTGTGATTTTGTTAAACAGAAAACTCAACAAATACATTACTTTTGTGGACTTTACACTAAGATATTGATTCTTATTATATCTGGTCATTAGTATTTGCATGCTAGTACAAAATGCGCTCACGTTGCACTGAGGTATACTTTGGAGTGATTATGAATCAATTTTATAAATAAGTTACTGAAAAATGATTTCAGTTCCTGATGACTAAACATTGCCCTGTGCAGTTTTCGCAAGTTTCATTCGAAAAGTAAAATTCGTACATTTAGATTACATCCATTTTGAAAATTTACCGCAGTACATCATGTGTAACAAGAAAAAGGCCTTGATAATGATTCATTTGAAAGAGTTTACAATCTGGAATACATACATGCTGACTTCATTTCTACTGCTCCCGTCAATGATCTAAGCTTCAGTAAATTGGGAAGAAAAGAATTCAAGACTTTGTAAATTAACTTCAAAGGAGTGTGAACAAAGGCCATGTAGCCAAAGAACTACTTTAGTTCAAGCCCTTCTATCCCATTCAAATCTCGAGTCGCCGTATACACTTTGGACCAGTAGTCAAATACTTAGGTATCACCTAGTTCTTTGATGAATCCTTTAATAACACACTATTTTTCGGAACAGAAAAATGAGTTACGATAGCTAAGTATGTGTTCATAAGCTAGATTATGAACTGTTTACTGCATTAGGTCTAATAACACTACTCAGCTATCTAGACCTTTTAGAATTTCCACCCACCGAGGTTTGGGCGGCCACATAGTATCGTCGGCCGGCACACAGTAGGTGACTCATTGAGTACCGGCACAAGATTGCTGAGTGTGTTTCGATTATTTTTACAATTCGAACCAGTAAATCACTGATCAAGTGTTGAGTGTCCGGTTTCCAGTAGGTGGGAACAGTTTCCATGCTCAAATCTAATTCTTAGTAGTCGAAATCCTTATGATAATTCATGGTCTGCAAATGAAAACACATCAGGTTGACTGATTGTATTTTGATAGTCTGGAAATAATTGTTTTGAAATTACAATGGGATAGGCAAAGTCAAGTTTTCGCTGTGATGACAGTTTACAAAAGTAATAGAAATGACGTTACTGGTGATTGTAAATCCAGTTCGTTTAAAGTTGACGCAGTAAGATTACAGATTAACAATCAGGTAACCATGATTTCAGCTGGTGATTCCTGTAGGTTGGATGGTATATTTTCCTAAAAGCGGTCACAGTGACAACACAAACTTACCATGTCATAAATAACACGTATATACAGAGAACAGCTAGGACAACGTGCTACATCATCACCGGACAATAGATCTTCCTACAAATTGATCATAACCCAAAATATTTCATAATACTAAACCTTCGTAATCAGGAATCGATCACCACATGGACAAGGATAAGAATATGTTTCTGACTCCTCATCATACTCCATGTCTTCAATTTCGATTTCGTCATGGAACACCGACATCTTCACTGACCGAAGAAATACCAAACAGACATTAGAATGTTTGCGTTGGAATGTTTCCTAGAAAGTTTCCGGGATTAATTCACGATCAATCGAATTCACTTATACCATTATTTCAAACTAACAATAGCTCTGACTACTCCTGTTTTACAACAAGTAGAACTCTTTAAGAAGCATGCTAATATTGTTTGTTACTTGAGCTCATACCCAAATTAACTCTGATTTTACTTAGTCGCACAGATATTATTGTCTGAAGTAAGCTACAGTTTAACTGTAGCAGTTCTCGGTAGAGTTTATTATGTTGACAAAATATGCTCATTTATTCATGAATAAGAACAAGATTTTTTTTCTCAGCGACTCTATTATAATGCTGTACAGTTGTACCAATTATAAGTACGACTATATAGCTTGATAATAAAGTCATTGAAAATAAATTTCTCTTTGCTGAAAAAAACATTATTATGTTATCTGATGGAATTCATTTAGTGACTAAAATATCCTGCATTTGTTGGCATCTATGTTATGCATTTTATGTTAGATTAAGAAAGAGGCAAAATATGCTGTTCTCTGTCACGAAAATGAGTGCAGACATGCAGTCAAAAGTGTGAAATATTAACGTATGCTATAATTCTAAGACCTTATAAGTTTCAAAAATTATGAGTTTAACTCATATACACTGTAAGCAACCTGTGTTAACAAAAATAAGACTGACAGTTAATGGACAAGTACCAATCCAACGTCACCTACAACTATATTAACGAATTCATATGTGCTTGCCAAACCAAGTATATCGAGACGACAGAAAGATGGGGATGTGCTCGTTTATCTGAACAAGTCCCAAGGGGCTTACGACTGAATGGTTCGAAATCGCTTACAAGTTCTATCAAACGCTATTTAGTCGACCCGGGATACAACGGGGATATATCTACAGCTTTTAAAATGATAAATCGACAGCGATCCTCTGTTTTACTTCGTTTTGCAGTATCAGTAGCAATCAAAAGCTTTAAACCTGACCCATGTGTTCAGAAACAGACAACGACTAACCTAGCATTATCCTGGTAACCAAGTGTTTGTCCTTCCTACTGTATTTCCTTATTCCATGTTTTCTTAGTTTTCTCTTTCCTGTTTTTACTACCCTTTTTATATATGTTATGTAATATGACATCTGCTTGTTTGTGTGGAAAATCTGTTATTGTTATTACTGTTACAACAGTGATTAATTTACCATTTTTACTACTCCCCACACTCACTGTTACAACTATAGGGTCCTTCATTTAATTATCTACGAAGAAACAAATTTTATCATAATTATTTGCACTGCTAACATTTATTAACTGAGTTTGTATATGGTTATGTATATGGTTACTTTGTTCTAACTCAAGAGTATGTTACCCATTTTATCCCATGCTAATTCTGTATTTATTCCAAACTGCAGCTGAGGAGAAGTCACGAAATAAATATTAGCTCAATTTATTCTGCAAATGTTGTTGTTCGTGCTTTGGTGAAAATGATCAGGGGAACACGCTGTACTACTTAATTATTGAAAAAGCACATTTCGTGCCTACAAAGTCCTTTAGTAGTGTTTTCCCTAAACCGAGTAGGAGATCTAAATTTATCGAGCATAAGCGTAAGAACAAAGTCAAAAAGATGATTTATCACAATTCATTTTCACACAAACCTTTCTCGGTACAACACAGTGCTTTCTTATATCTCAACAACTTAACTTAAGAGATCAAGTAAATAAATGATCGAGTATTCTTCCCTCCTAGAGATTGATTTACCAAGTATTGCACAATATGCTTGGCAAGTTGCTAAAATCCCAATTACAATACTTAGTAATGATGAGTGGTACCAGATGAGAAGTCACGCTGAAATGAGATAGAGATTTGACATATGATTTTATAAGTAACTACCTGGATAAACTACTAGACCATACATCAGTGTTTACCGTCTGTGTTCATTCTCTTACTTAACTACTGTCATGTCGAAAATGATAACCGCAGTATCCTACTTTCTGATCTGCACTGCAAGAGCAGTTTCCTTTGCTATATCCATATTTGTACTAGAAATCACTTTCGACCTTTCAATCAATTAGTATTTAGCCAGCATCCCGACCAACGAAAAATATTGTTCCCAACTAGACACTTACAGCACGGATGTTTGCCAGAGTTGTATCCAGCACTATCTAGACCAAAGGTCAAATGTCTGGTAGATTTTTTACCCTCGATTATAAGCAAGCAACTTCACTCATCACATACTCACCTTGGAAACAGAGCATGAATAACAGCTCAGTCGTTACAAATCCAAATTAGATTACCAAATTCTAACAGTGATGTTTGTGGATATTAATTTTTTGGTTCCGCCTATGCTGGAAGTAAACCATCTAGCGACAACTGCTATCTTGACGTAGTGGCCGGGTCGCATATTACAAAAAGCCATGCAAGTTGAAACGATTGTCCCTTAGTGCTCTACTATGCCATACAAGTCGGTTGGGTAGTGGTTAGACCAAAGGTAGCTACTATCATGATGTGAATAGCTTGTGGGGTTCAAGAGCAGTCAACATCATCCATCAATATAGGACCAGGTAGGCATTACTGTGTAACGGTCCGAGTTGCCACAGCTCATATCAGTACATCAAGTAAAAAGGTAGTGAAGTGCAAGGTAAGAATAAGAAAATTCAGTCAGAAGAAATATAAAGTACTCAAAGAGGGAGAGAGGAAGGAAAAATGAGAAAATGGTGAGATTCGGTATAGCGTTAGGATGAGGATAATATGTGTATACATCTTCACCATTGACATCGGTTCCATGCCATATCACCTAGTCTCCAACCACTGGTCCCTCTTGTCCCGCGAACCCCAACCACCTAGTCTGCATCGCCTCACACGGCTCAAACCAACAGTCAAAGACTTCATACATTGATGCATGTTTTATTTTGGCCGCCTTGAGCCTTTTTCCAGACTGAACCTACTTCGGCCAACATTGTGTGATGAGGCAGACGGTGGCTAAGCATACGTAACACATGTCCCAGTCAGCCGTCTCAGTCGATGAAGGTTCACAACCGTGCCAACTGATTTACCTCTTCTCCCTAAAACTCTACACCTGACTTCTGCATTACTCACGTGGTGACACCACGGAATACGGCCTATACTACGAAGGCAACGGTGGTCAAACACCTGAAGCCAGCCTTCTCATGTCTTCCACCTCCAATGGCGATGTTTCACAGCCATGCAGTAGAACAGAGCGGGCTGCTGTGCAGTACACGCAACCCTTAATAGACAATCGGATATCACAGCAGCACCACAGGTGGCGTAAGTTGGCAAAAGCCAGTCGAGCCTTTTATATTGGTGCAGAGATCTCATCGGCCACTGAGCCATTAGGGCTGATCCTGCTTTTCAGGTAAGTGAAATGGGCGACACACTCAACCGCTACTTTCTCTACTGTTAGTCGAGGCACTATTGGAGACCAATCCTGGAGCAGCAATATGCATTTGGGTGGCGAGAAACGCATCCCAAACATCCTCAGATTCCCATTCAAAGTGTTTAGAAGGCTGCATCTTGTCAGCGTCTTCACCTAACAGGACTATATCATCTAGGTCTAACGAGAATTTTCCTGAGACTAGGTCAACCTCTGTGTAGTCACGTGACGCGAGGGAGACCTCCATAAGAATATCTATGATGAAATTGAATAATAATAAAGAGAGTGGGCACCCTTGACGGACACCACTCGACGAGTACAGCTCCCCGGATATCTCACCATAGACTCTAACACGCCCACAAGTGTTCGAGTAGGGAGCCTTCAATAAGATGATGTACTTACTCGGCACGCCTTTCAGTGAGAGACATTACCATAAGACTTCTCGATCAACTGAGTCGAATGCCGCCTTCAGGTCGAGAAATACAACTATTGTCGGGCGTTGGTAAGCGTGCCTATGTTCCAGAACCCGGCACAGTGTGACCATTTGATCTATACACCCGCGGCCGGGTTTAAAGCCTCCCTGGTTTTGTTGAACTTGCTATTCCCGAGCTCCACTAATACATGTCTAATGATTATGGAACCTAGAATCTTAGATACTATGTTCGCCAGGCTGACTCCTCTGTGGTTATCACAATAGGACTTCTCACCTTTCTTGAAGACAGAGATAATAAGTGATTTACACCAGTCAGAGGGGATCGTATTTGATTCCCATATACTAGTTAACACTTCCGTTAACCTGACTAAGAACACCTTACCACCATCCTTGTATACCTGTGGAGTTAGTCCGTCTGGTCCTGCCGCCCTTCCTCGTTCCAAGTTACCTACTGCTTTCTCGACTTCTGAAAGTATTGGGGGACCTATCCCTATGTTCCATTCAGGATCCTATTGGATCGCAGGCAACACAATGGTGGCTGGAGGCCAGTTGAACTGTTCCTCGAAGTGTCCTGCCCATCGTTTCAGTCGTCTCCTCTGCGAGTGAATCGTAGACCCGTCCTTCTCCGCTATGGTCTCACTTACCGCAGTTGACCTTTCCCCGAGTCTCCTTAATAAGTCTAAATTACTGTCTACTGTTACCAATCGCCGCTGCCTTTTCCATCTCTTTAGCCTTCATTGCCCACCACTGTTCGCGGTCGTTGCGTAGACTTTTCCTCAGTCTACTTTTAAGTTGTGCTCGCTCTTCATTGTACTCAGAGCCTGCAGGGATGCGTCCACGTGCATCCATTATTTCGGAAGAAGCTGCTGATATCCACTGGCTCTTTCTATCCATTCTTTCGGAGTCGGCTACGGTCTTCAGCGCTGCTTTTATAACAGACTGGAGATGGCGCCAAGCTTCTTCTGGGTGAGTGATAGTGTCCTGTTCCGATAACTGCCTAACCAATTTTTCACTGAAAGCGGCTTTGATGTTTTCGTTGTCAAGCTGCACTCGTAATGGTTTTGTTGCCAAATATTTCCTACGTCCATTGAGATGCAGACATATACGCTCTCGGACCAACGCGTGGTCGCTACCCAACCCACGTACTCCAGAAGGAGCGGCAGTCTTCCACCGATGCTCTCCAGCGATGACTGATAGCAATGTGGCCTGTCTG